TGAGTACTATTATTGTTTTGTGAATAAAAGTAAGAGCTCTACAGTTGTGATTGATTCAAAAAAGTGTTTTTTCAATCCTAAATCTATCCAATTCTATTATAATTATGATCATAAATTATAATACTGATGATATTTTGTTATTTATAAAATATGAAATGCAGCTGACCTGCTGTGGAATTTTGGACTTCTGGGGACTCATGCTGCTGACAGCAATATTACTTGTCAAGCCTGTCCAACAGGAACATTTGCAAGTAATAGTGAGTATTCACTGTATTCCTTAAGTATTTGAAATATGCAAGCTTAAGTGCCTTGATATTTCTTTTTTATTAAGATGACAAGTTGCCGCATGAAATAAATTATGTTGTTATGTTGCTATTTGCGAGTAACAATGATTGAACACACCCAAAATTTCATTACAAAGTAGACATGTTTGTGTCAAGTTCTGGATTCATCACAATTCAAGGTTTTATAGATAATGACATTTTTTTGATTGCATATACTTTTCAGGTGTCCCTGAATGCAAGAGCTGTCTTCACAAAGGCTGGTGTAACAGTACATCATTTTGTGCTAAATGTCCAGCAGGACACTACCAGAATGAAACAGGAAAGACAGAATGTGTACCATGTCCTACAGGACACTACCAGAATGTAACAGGAAAGACAGAATGTTTACCTTGTCCTGTAGGACACTACCAAGAGAAACCTGGCAATGTCTTGTGTGATCCCTGCAAAAAGGGTGAATACCAAGATGTTTCTGGTGGAGTTAAATGTAAACCTTGTAGAAAAGGATTCTTTTCCAAGTGAGTAATTGTCTCTTGCTTTGACAACATTTTTATTTACTCTTTAAACTTCTTTTTATGATTGTAGGGTTGCAGGTTTAGTGCAGTGGTGAGAGCGCTCACTTCCCACCAGTGTGACCTGCATTCATTTCTTGCCCAGTGTAATCTGTGGGTTGAGTTTGTTGTTGGTTCTTGCCTTGCCCCAAGAGTTTTTCTCTGGGTTCTCTGGTTTTCCTCCCATCACAAAACCAACATTTTCAAATTCCAATCCGATTCAGGATAGAGGACCCGCATGTAAACCAGCTAAGGCTGATGTGGCTTCCTCTCTTAATATTGTAATTTAATTATAAATTTGTTTTTTTATTTGTTATTAGTGTACAAATGTAGTTATTTTGAGACCCGTCTATCTCTCATGGGAGGCAAGGAGACCTACCTTCATTGTTAAGTGGCATTTTTCCTTTATTAAAACTGGTTTTAATTGACAGGTCAGTTGGAAGTCCACGATGTATTTCATGCACGTATGGTGGATTCTGCAGGTGAGAACTCTTTGAAACCTACACTAGTTCTTTAACAGGCTATATTTTGGACCATTTTGTGGATTTTATATCATTCTATAAATATTCAATAATAAAATCTATTTTACTCAAATGGTCTTTTTTCTGTTAATGTTTTTTTTTTTAATTATTTATTATAATATTTGTTATAAATATATTTATTTTTTATTTCTTTTTGGAGGAAGGGGAAGGATTACATATTGGATCTAACTGTGTTTTGTTTTGCTTATTGTGTTTATATTAAAAACATATCTTCTTTGAAAAGAGACAGAACAAAATTTCTTATTTAGGAGAATGCTATCAGTTATATTATACACTAACAGGGTACAGTACATGGTGTTGTATTTTATGACAACAAAGCATTGGATCCATTTAGTAAATGCTCCAAACTATAAATAAATAATCAATATATTTATGTCTTTTCTTGTGGTAATTTAGCAAGCTTGGGTGTACGTCATGTCTCCCTTGCCCAGCTGGAACACAGGCTGACAGTATGGGAGCACAAAACTGTACACTTTGTCCAAGAGGTATATACCTTAGCTCAATTTTAGTGTGGAACTTGCAATGTTAACTAAATTCAAACAGAGTCAGAGATCAGAAGAAAATGTGAAGAGACTTGAACGCTTCTGAGCCAAGGACAATACTTTGTAAAACTGGCACAAGAAAGGCCTTATGTACACCCAGACTGTGGATACATTTAATCAAACGTGTAAATAGTTTTCAGTTATTTTGACCTGTTATTGATTTCAGTTGTACAAACTTGGAAACTGGACTGTTAGCCAGGACTTGAAAAGTTTCAAGATGTCCTGTTAGCACGACTTGAAACAACCTGTTTTTGCCTCAAAGCTTAACTTGGCAAGTCAGACTATCTCTTGGCCCACTGCACATTAGTAGTTGTTTCTTTTGTTAATTATTTTATACTTTGGTCGGTGCTGACAGCCATGTAGTTAAAGCAGGTTTATAAATAACTGAACTACTATGTGTGCTCTCATTGGTCGATAGGTGTGTTTAGATGAGAGTATGTAACCACGGTTGTGACGTTTTAGATTTGCACGTATTTTTGTGAATTACTTTATAAAAGCAATTAAGTCAGACAGAGCACTTTTTCCACATTTAGATAGCCTCATCTAAACACTTGGGGGGCTGGGAGAATTCTTGAAAGTAATGCAAACCCTCAATTACATCTCAGGTTTGCATACATGTAACTGCCTTGAAATCTCCCAACCCTCCTCGTGTTTAGATGAGGCTACATTATGTAAACACTGAAAAAGTGCTCTATGGCTTAAATTCAAAATCTTTTTCCTGGGAAACAGTGGTGTTATTTAGTCAGGATAACTTGTGGTTAAAATAAAGTTTTCTGTTGCTAATTTACAGGTTTTGTCAAGGCCGGCAAAAGTTTTGATGTTTGTCAACAGTGTGAAAAAGGATGGTTCCAAGATAACATTGGGCAAACAACCTGCAAGAAATGTCCTAAGGGATTTTTTTGCCCTGTAAGTTGGTTTTACTCTGTAGCTAGTATGCCCAGGGATGTACCTGTGGAGCTTTAATTACACCCGCTTTCAGTGTTACGTGCGTAGTGACTATCTTTCAACATGCCATCTCTTGACATGCTATGTAACCTGGCTTAGGTCAAAATGTACGGAGAATTACTGGCTTCTTCATGGTCGAACTCGATGTTTAGCTGTGAAAGATGGATTTATTTGACATCAAACTAAGGCTGGGGATATCAAGTCATTCTCTGAGAGATAAATCGACTGTTTTGAATGTTTACATCTTTCGAATATTAACTGAGTGGTATAGCAGCCAAATTCTACCGGAAGTCACTGCTGAGAGCCGATCGACTACACTAAAATCGTTTGAATTAAATGTATCCTGTATATCGGGAAACATGCAAAGTCCACAATCTTCTTCATTCATTTGAGGTCAGTAATTATCATTTAATTGTCATTTGTTCTGCTAATAACCACAAAAATGGCCAGTTTCACAGTTTAACAGTCTTTTATTCAGCCGTTTACAAGGTACAGTGTATGTTGAAAGATGGCATGTGGAAAGATGGTCGAAAGATGTTGCCTGTGCACGTAACACTGAAAGTGGGTGTAATTACACTGTGTAAAGAGATGCTGGACATCCAAAATATCAGCTCAGTTTCTCAAGTACGGAAACATGGCACAAAGCTTTTTTGGTTTTTCCTTCAAACTGTATATATAAAGCTCTTCTTGTTTGTCATGGGCTTGGTGAGACTTGGCTTATATCAGGCAAACATAATTTTGAAGATATTGAACTATTAATAATAACATTAATTAATTATTAATAATTAATGGAGGTGTTTTTTGTTTGTTGATCTACATGTTGTTGAACTACAACACTTCAAAGTATGAAATCATAATTATCTCAAAAAAGTCATACCATTTGACTGTATATTTATTGTTATATTTGACTAAAATATCATTTGTATCATGTGTCAGAGTTTTTTCAGACTAAGCTCTTTCAAAAATCTTCTTTAGTTCTCTTTGTTTTCCAACATATTATTTACAGTTCATGATCACTTGATAAAGGATTCTGTTTATATGCAAGGTGCAGGATGTATGTCCAGTGTAGAAGAAGGCTGAAGTAATAAAAATCCAAAATGTAACTGTATCTTGCCCATGCATTTCTACTGGCAAGCCCCAAATAATTTTAAAGTTAAAAGAAGCAAATATTTTAACTAGTAAATTCAATAGTTAACAATTATTCACCGAAGAGGAGGTGGATAGTAGTGGATATTTACTGAGCTGTGAAGCAGCGAGGTAAATATCCATCACTTTCACCGACACGGAGGTGAATAATTGTTTTAGTATATACCACACAAGCTGAATAATTAGCGGACCAAAACGTTATTTTATGTGTGACAAGCAGTCAGAAATTTTAAAATCTCTCACGCTGGCTGCTCGGAGGTGAATAGTACTTGCTAATCACCTCCAAGTTAACCAGTCAGAGTGTACGGAAAGCACCATTCACTTGTGTGGTATATACTAATATAGAATATGCAGTCATAAAGGACATTCATTGAGTGAAAATCTTAAACCATGATGCTAAACATATATTTACTGGGTGTATGATGTAGTGGCCAGATGAGGATCCAGTGCATTGTGATGCCAAGGAGATTTGTCCCGCTGGCAGCTGGAAACCCTTGGAGGAGTGTAAAGGATTGTACAAGAGAAATAGTGAAACTGAGGTAACACAAGTTGCTTATCATTCAGTAGCAATCAATCAGAGGATGGTTGTGTACATTTATGAACTTTGGGTTGTATTATTATCTTGAAAAGGGCAGACTGAAATTTTCAAGGTTGTCTTAATTACAGGCTCTTCTTAACCTTACTAGTGGAGATCAGTCAGGATTTATTCACATTATTTTTAATTAATAATTTTATTAGTTACTGGCTTGGACATGATGGCCAAGGACTTTGGTTATTACAAGCTCTTACATAAGTTGTCAGTCAGGTGGAGATCAGGATTTATCCACATTAGTTTAATTAGTTACTGGCCTGGACATAATGGCCATGGACTTTCTCAAAGTCTGTTTTGTATCGCTCATGTTTGTCATGTGCTCACTAAGACTTAGCTTGTATCAGGCAAACATAATTTTAAAAATAATGAACTGTGAATAAATTAATGAATGATGTTTTATTTTCTGCTTGCTGATTTAATTGTACTACAACATTTAGCTTGGTGAAAATTCAAAGGGGCAATCTCAACAAAAGTAAATCATTTTATATCTGTATTTTAGGTATTTAATTTTACACTGTCTATTTTCTTCACAGAAATGTGAACTAAGTTCCATTGTTTATGTCGTTATTGGAGTAGTATTGGCAGGTACATATTAAAAAAGTGAATGTTCTAGTTTTGTTTTTGCAGCTTTAGAGAATGCATGGTTCATCCAGTGTTAAATGTAGGTAGCTTGTGAACATGTCGTACTGGGTTTCTTCAGTGACTGATCTTAGACTGGCCAGCTAATTTAACTTCCCTTTTCTCCTTTTCAGAGTAGTCTACATGACTGTATGTTTAAGACTATTTTTTCCCTGGCTTATTATACTGATTATCCACCCACCCAAAGACAATTTCCATCAAAGACAATTCAGAAGAAGTAGCCCTGTGCATGGTTTTATATATAACATCTTAATTAATTAACCAATCACAGGTCCTAGACTCTGGCAAGATATATAGTTTGTCTTAATTTAAAAGATACTGCACTTTCTTGTTGAAGGCAAACAAAATTAAAGTCATTTAAGTCTAGCTGTTATCAGTTTGTGCTCTTAAAAGGACCTAATTTACAACCCACTCTCTAGATCTATTTTACTGTCAGATAATGATGCAGGATGTACTTGAACCTTCAATGTGAGGTAGTTTAGCAGGGTAGAACTGACTACATAAAATAATTTGGCTTTTTGTGTTTTTGTTTCAGTAATTGCAGCAGGAGTAGGATTTGTAGCAGTCAGAAGATACAGGCGGTAAGTGTGACATTTAAGTGGAAGAGTGATTTTTGGAATTACTTGGCTTCTTCTGGTCCCTTTCGATGCTTTTAAATGGATTGTCATGCAATGCCATTGTCATTTAACTTTCTTGGAGTAGCATATTAACTGAGGATGTAAATAATGGCTGTGACTGTTTGGATGTTTGGGAAATTGTTGACGGTTTTTTTAGCCCAAGAGTGATTGTCTTTATCCTTGTTGTTAACAGAAATAATGAACAGAGACAGCGACTGCTAGAAAGACAACACCCTGTGTATACTGGCTGGTGAATGTGGGTTTTTATTTGGCAACAAGCAGCAGCATTGTGCAACAATGAAGAATTTTATAACATGTGTAGTGCTCGGTAGTGGGTAGCGGTTACAGTTACTGAGTGTAAAGTAACATTAAGTGGAGAATAAATTATTATAAATAATGTATTTAATTTGTCAACTACAGCTGTAGTCACAATGTTGGCAGGGTAATTAATATGTTCTTCTAAAGTTCCATTCATCAGTTCTTTTTCATTCTCTTGTCCTCTTTTCACAAGAGATGACAAACATTCCCTCGTTTCTCTCAGTTGAGAAAAAGCTGAGGAAAAATTAGCTTTGTAAACAGTTTTTTCCTTCCTGCTTGATGAACTAAGTGAAGAGGAAATACTCATTGTCAATTCTCATAGTCTTGATTAATAACAAGACAACTCTTTTAAAATGCTGATATAATTTCCATACAAAGGCTGACAAAGACAACCCTACACGTACATGTACTTGATGATTTTCTTTATTCTCATCACCTATCTGCTCGGCAGTGTATTAATATTGTTAGGGGAATTTGGATATTGGTCAGACTGATTTTCAGAGCTCTTTTTCTAAGTAAGGCTGATTATGTAACATTTATTTTTTCAAGATGTTAATGGTGTTGTAGGTATGATAAGCAGACGAACAGCCTCTAGTGTGAATATGTATTAGTTTGGTCCATCTAAGTAGACACCAATATTGAAATTAATGGAAATCTCGGCTTTTTGATGTGTCCTGTTAACTTTAGTCTCAGAAATGCTTGTTTGCTGTTTCTATGTTGTTTATATATACAAGCTACAATTGCGTAGGTGCAACAATACATGCTTACATTAGCTTGTGAACAGGCTCCCCACCACATTATAGAAGGAAACCAGTTGATAAGCAGGGAGTACAATCGGTGAGGAAGATCTTGTAGGGAAGGCCTGTTGCTCTGCAAGAACTCATTTGGCTTGCCAGTTTGTTTTTGTTTGTTTGTTTCACCCTGAACCCTACCTGGAAGCCTGTTCATGGGCTTTGTTTGAGGACAGCATGTGAATATCATGTGAGTGCAGGAGTAGCATGAGAAGTAACTGTAGACCACAGTAGAGGTCAAGTGGCCTTGCAGTGGTCTGACAAGAGTAAGTTTCAGAGATAAAAAGTTCCATTCATGGTTATTCTTTGGCCATATGTTTCAAGGGTATTTCACCATGCAGACAATGGGAAAAGATCTTCTAAGGAGAACAATATCTGTCAGAAAGGAACCATGTAAAACATGAACACAAACCACTGCGGCTTAGATTCCTTGATTTTGAGGTTAATTGTTCAATGCTGTAAATGTAAAAGTAAGCATCTATTATTAATACATTTTTGTGGTATTAACCCTCGTTTGTACAAGCAGGCTTTGTAATGTAGTGCCTTTCAGCAGATATTTTATTGTGTTCAAATATCTTCAGCCTTGACCCAGGATTTCCCTGGACATAACTTTGTAACTTAAATACCTCATGATGTTACTGTTCAAGGTAAGGCCTGGGTACTAGGCTGCCGTGGGCAAAGAGGGAAACAATCATTGAAAGAAAATAGGCATGGTGATTCGCTGTACAGAAGTATCCTTTGGATTAAAATTATAGCTATGACGAATTTGGGGAAATTGGATTTAAATTTCCTAAGAATGACGAATAAAAGAATTGATTTCAGTTCACTCCAATGGTTATACAATCATTCATTTAATTTCATGATCTCATCCACCCCAGTACCAGTTCATCCTCATAGTTGTATTAAATCATGTATAGTATAACCAGGAGCATGGTACTCNAACTTTTTTAGATGAAAGCCGTGAAGCCGAATGTAAAATTTGAAAAAGAAAACAAACAAAAACTCTCTTAATACATATTTAATTGTTTGTTTTCTATAACCCCGCTTGTTTACAGAAATATTTTCACGGACGAGTACTATCCATTCGGGTATTTTCCTCGGACGGGCACTATGGGCTGATAGTGTCTCCCCGCGAATGAACGCTATCGCGTCACGTGATCAATTTAAACCAATAAGAATCGGAGAAAATTTAGTGATGAACTATAACGCGTGATAGTTGACGATGGCGCAGCACGAGTCAACTATAATTGATTAAATCGAATAACTTAATTGTTTTAGTATAAATCTACTAGTCGTTCAAAACTTTATCTAAATCCTCTTCACAGACACTTCGAAAACGCCAAGAAGCGGCCGTCATTTTGTTAACAAGGGCACATTGCTACGCTACTCACTATCTATCACAGAATAAAAGACAGATGTTTGTTCGCAGCGCGGACCGTAAGCGTAGAGATCAGCCTAGAAAATAACCTAACTCGACAAAAAAAAGCTCGGAGCGAAGTGATCAGCAACAACAACAACAACAAAATAATGTTGATTAGCGGTACAGTGACAAAATAGCACGCAGCGAAGCGACCAGCGACAGAAACAACTTGGAATCCAGCAACAAACAGCTCGAAGTGGGACGACCAGTGACAGAAATAATTTTGAATACAACAGCAACCACCTTGAGGAGTAGCGCTGAGCGAGAGAAATAATTTTGAATGCCGGCACAGCGACTAAACAACTAAGCATGGCGATCATGGGAATGTAGCAACAGAACTATTTGTGAAATCTGGTACGTATATAGCTACAAAACAACTCCTGTAGCTCGGAGCGAAGCGATCAGCGACAGAAACCCGGGCAGAAATAATTTTGCATTCACAGAGGCAGAACAACTCAGAGCGCGGTATAGTGATCAGTAAAAGAAACAATTTTCAATTCAATGACAAAACATTACTACCAAGCGACAAAAAATGATTTGGAACCAGCAACCAAAGTACTCTGAACTGAGCGAAATGGAGAACTTCTTCTAACTGCTTTCCTCCAACAGAGGAAAACAAAAACAGAGGTGTCATCTTCCTTTGATCATGTTCATGCCACGTTTTCTTCACCTTCGGTTAATTTGCACTAATGTAAGCTTTCTCTCTTCAGTGTGAGGAGAAAATCTCATTATCATTGCCAATATCAATGTCGAAGTCTATCGGCTTGAAAACTCCATTTTGTCCACTCAGAACCGCATTTCCGTGGTCTACATGTGCCATTTTATTCCCAAGGAGTTGTGAAAATATTGACGCATTTACACAACATTCATTTTGGGCTTGGCACTCCACTTGAAAATTTTGGTACGCGGGCCGATAGTTCAGGCACGGCCTGCACGATTTACATGGCAGACATGTTCAAGTTACAGGCAATTTCTAAGTTAAATACTATTAGTAAAGCGTTTCAAAAGTTAAAGATATTAATCTGCTTTGATTGTGCTGTCTCAAACGAACAAAAGATTTTTACCCACTGTGGGGTGTTGCGTTACATTGCAAGTTTCAAAGGGGCTGAATTGCAATTTTCTCGACTTTTGATCGGCGTTCATGCAAAATTGCTGGTAGATCCCACACAAATGAAACTGTAAACCTAAAATTCATTGACTGAACTGTCTTTTGCTACAACATCAGACGATGACGATACAACATCAGATTTCCATCAGTTGCTTACCTAGGCTTTCGAACTGGTAAAGTATGAGCAAAATCGATTTTTCGACCGTGGCCACGATTTCTTTGATTTGTAGTGGCAATTGCTCTTAAAATGGTTTAATTTCAAAAACTTCAATAAACTTTCCAAATCTGCGGTTTAAAGGAGCTCAGTCACGGTGCTTTGTCTTTTTTTTTTGGCCACGTAAAAAATCTCCTTTAAACGGAAGGAAACCTGAAAATAATAGTTTACTAAGATAGAAAAACATCAAAGAGATAATAATAAACGATAAAGGAACAAGGATGGTCAAGGATGGCGAAGATTGACACGGATTGCAAACGACGAATTTGAAAAATGTAGGCAAAACTTTTCAAAACGTGCAAACCGTGACTGAGCTTCTTCAGGAGAGCTGTTTGAATGGTTTGGAAGGACACCTGTCTGCCTGAGACGAGGCAGATTGGTGTTGATTCGGCTGAGTAATTTCTCTGGACTCATTTATAACAAGAACTAATTTAATTAGTTTAAAACATTGTCACGCAATAGCATGGTCTTTTCCTTTTGCCATCACTGATCGTGGTTTCTTCAGTTTCGATATTCTACGAAATACTTCAAATTAATATCGATTTTAAAAGCCATTAAAATGAGAAGACATTACTGAAGGTAAACGACGTTACTTAGCAACGGTTCTGCAAGTGACAACGCGTCGGACCTGTAAACGTTTCTAAAAAGCACTTTATTACAAGCGAAAAATAATGAATTATTTTAAGAGTAAAATAAAACTCTTCGTCAATACGGTGCACTTTTTTACCACCGTAACTCGAACTCCTGCTTCCGAAAGATCACCTTAACGTGCTTGGCAAGCAAACATTAAATGTTTAGAGTTCCCGGCAACACTTGTATTCGACAACGGTTCCAATGTTCTTTCTTCCAATACTTTAAACGTAAAATAAACATCTGTAAATCTTCAGCTTCAGAGCACTTAAATAAAACGAAACATTCGTCAATCACATCTTCAAAATCAAGGAAGCAAGATACAGTAAAAACCTACGTTTAAGAACCTAGTGATTTAAGAACCAACAGGCTGAAATTTGGCTTTTAAATACCCAAAATATAAGAACCTGTTACTGATGGTTTTGACTCTGGATTTTAATTGTGTGAGAAACTTCTGACAAAACGCTATTGCGTATATAATGTTTTCTTTGATTTGCATTTTTTTTATTTTCACTAGAAGTATGTTTTCCATAAAGCTACAATGCAATATATGCGATCTGAAAAATAAGAACCGTTTTAGAAGCTAATCAGCCTGAATTTGTGAAAATCTACCCTAAAATATAAGAACCTATTCAGCCTGACCTCGAAAATTCTAGGTTCTTATATGCAGGTTTTTATTGTGACAGTGCATCGGGTAATGCCAACGTCAATTTTAAGTTATTTTGGTAAAATCGTGCACAAACCCCTTGGTTTTAACCTAACGCTATCGCTGGGAGAAAAATTTCGAATTTTAGTACTCATTGCAGATTGCTACACTTTATTTGTTACTGCTGACCTATATTTAGTTCAGGTTTTTTTTCTACTTGTAAAAGCTGGTCAAACCTGTTAAGGGCCCCTTAACCGATTCATGCGCGCGCTCGCGCGCGTTGCTAAGGAGGTGAAACTTCACTTCCGGTCGCTTACGTCAGCCTGAGCACGGAGAATAACAACAACCCAAAAAATTGCAAATTCGCATACATTTTAGGTGTTTTTCTTTGTGTTTCGCAAAATGCAAAGTAAAAAAAAGTACAAGCAAAGACAAAATAAGAGAAAGACAGAAAAACAAGAACAATAGAAAGAGAAAAACTAACTCCGTGTGGCT